ATTAATTCAAGCTAAAATAAAGTATTTTACAGTAGTACCCATTTGATTGAATATTTTGATGTTAGAATTAATACAAAGAAACACATCAATTTGCATATCAATAAATGAATAATGGCACTAATGTTTTGACGTCCAGTATATATAACTAAAGATGTTCTAACACTATTTCATACTTGACTATTAATTATTTAATAAAACATGGGAATGTGAAAATTTAGTCATTACAACAATGCAGGTTTTAAATTGAGATCACTGTCTTAAAGGGCGGTGGTCGTTACCCCGCGTTCTGTCCGATGCGGGACTCATAGCGACGTACCGTATATAACGCGTGTAAAATACATTGTTTGTTTACGCGACCACCACCACCTTTTAAGCATATTCCATTTATGATAGAGCTCTGAAATGTTCATTCCGAGAGTGAGGTTTTTTGTATTTATGTTGGTGATCGTCGCTGAGTTTGCGGAAGTACTCTGGGGGATTGCATGATGAGAGTGATAATTCTTTTGATCAGTAAAATAATTTAAAAAAAGTGAAAACTAGAGTGACTGTAAAATGGAGGTTGGTTTTAAATATTAAATATCATGAAATCTGGATGAAATAATGAAAGGAAATCGAACTGATATGAAAGGGCAGTAAATGTAGCCAGAATTCAAGGTCAGAATCCAGGGGTCAAACACGCCACAATAGGGCTACGAGCAGCCATTGGTTGATTAGTGGCATGAGACCTTAAGAGAAATAAGAAGGTTAAATAAAGTTCTTGTCGATCTTATATATGATGGAATATCATTAAACGAGTAATTTCCCATGCAAAAAAAAAATCCCCAAAATTTAAACTCTGGGAGTTATTTATCAAAATCTACCACTTGGTGGCGCCCTATACCCAGACAATTAGTTGTAGAAAGTGGCAACATACACACTCAGAATAACACCAAAATAGATGGTAGGCAATGAATATAAGCCTGATTATTAGATGCAGTACTGTAAAATATAATGTTCTCATTCACCACAAACAAGTACAGACCAA